TCTCTCTCTCTCTCTCTCTCTCTCTCTCTCTCTCTCTCTCTCTCTCTCTCTCTCTCTCTCTCTGCATCGCTAATAATATAAAGTGAAATAATATCGACGTTCGGTACGCGCGAACGAACGAAAGTATTCGCAATGCCGCACGCTATATTCCGGTAAAGCTCGAATCGATGAATTTATAGTGGAATTTACAGCGGTTTCTGTCGCGCGATATAGATTCGGAACGGTGTCGATTGCATTCTCATTCGCCACGTTGCGTTTAAATGTCGTAAAGGAATTACTGCCGCGGACGTGAACCGATTGATGCCAATTGATATTACTGCGAGCGCGCGCGTAACATCGCATCGCAGCGCACGCGGAATATTTCGCGACTTGTGTGTGTGTGTTGTGTGCGTGCATGTTCATAAACTTGGCGAAATTTTGCGCGACGCTGGTAAGCGCACAGATAAAAGTGCGGCCACTGGAAATAGGACGATTCTAATTATAGACGCATTGCAACGAAGACGAAGAGCAAACTCTCCTCACGATTTTCTTGGACGCGCGGCTGGAGCGACTGTCGCCTAAAGTCAAGGTGGATGCCATCGAAAATCTGGCGGGATTCCTAGGAATGCATACGGTATTGATTTGATCATATGATTTGCGATACACGTAAAACCGAATGATAATTAATATTATGATAAAAGTGATCAAATGTTTGTTCGACGGAATTTTTCATTTTTTCTAGCGTGAGTTTACGTACTTGACATTAATTACGCATTTACGTACTTGACATTAATTACCTATTTCGTGTTATCTAGAACGCCTTTTCGATGCATTCCCTAAGCAAGCACGATAGTAAGCCATTGGAGTCTTCCATCATTCTGGGCGGATCTGGAAATGTGCCCCATCGTCGGGAGAATTACTTCACCACTATCCAGTGGCAGGTAGGATTCGAAATGCACACCCACGCTTTGCTTCGTCCTTAATATTCGCTTGTCGTATCGAGCATAGAGAAACATATGACCGTGTCGATATCGTGCAAGTCGTTAGCGATTCTCGCGACGTATCGATAAACCATATAACTTCCTATGCGCACATTGTCCCCCCCAGGTCGGCTGCGACGGTCACGTGTGGAGGCATCAAACGGAATTGATAAAACAACTGCGGGAACAAGCAAAGGACGGCACTCTGGCGGAAGTTCTGCAATTGCCTGTAATACTGTGGCGCGTAAAGACTGATTCGAGCTCTTTCCTGAGGAATAGAAGAGAGGCCGGCTCAGGAGACTACGATAACGCAGACGATTACGAGGGCTACGACGATGATTACGATGGCGATTACGACGGCGAGGACGGCGGTGAGGAGGGAGAAAACGATAACGAGGACTCGCAGGTACAGCCGACCATCATGCCGGATTTCAGCGGTGCAAGAGGCAACACCGTTCCGGAACACCCGCACCGACATCATCACGGCGAAGAAACGATCGATTGGAACGTAAGTCGTTAGGTATTTCTTTTTTTAATAAGACTCGCGGAGACTAATATCTTTCTATCGTGTGTTTTTTCTTGTTTCTTTCCAGGGCGAAGAGGTTGACGAGGAGGAGATAGTGACAAAACTGAAGCAGACAGAGCTGGAAAGCGGGGCGGTAAATAGAACGAGCAGCAGCAGCGCTACGCCTACGGTAAGTGTCTTCGTGGAATCGAGTCGTTGCGTGATTCTTCTCGTTGAGTCGACGAGTTGATATTCGGGATACAAGCTACTTTACCAACGGCTTTCGTTGAAATTCTTATTTCTGTGCTCCTCATTCGCCATGCCATCGCTTAAAGGGAATCGTTGCGCTTTTAAAAAAGTCTAGAATAGCTATGGGTATTGCGTATTTAATGCTGGCCTATTTCGTGTCAACGAACTATATCCGTCCGTCCGTCTGTCCGCCCGTCCGTCCGTCCGTATTGCGCGTATTGCTGTATAGATTGCGTTTCCGTTCCGAGACGGAAATTCCGCAAACGAAAGCCTGATACGTTCTTTACTGTTGTACAACTTCTGCAGAAAGATCTCCTCGAAAGAAAGAAAAGAAAAATGTAACTAACCCACGTTTTTCGTGCCATACATCGCATCTACTAACGATTTCGCAGACAACAACCACTGAACTTACATCATCACCATCAACAACTACAACCACCACCACCACCACCACCACCACCACGCCGACTACTACTACAACCACCACCCAAGCCGCGCCAACGACCACCGTTATCGCTAGTACTAGTACTAGCAACACAACGATTACCACACTGGCAGATATAGTGACAGCTAGCGTCTCCACTGTAGCTCCATCGATAGAGTCTCCGAGATCAGAAGTCACGGAGGAGTCGACGGAGAAAACGAAACACGTGGAATTTACCGTTTTACCGACTGTTCCTACAGACATCACTACGACTCCTCTCCCTATAACCACCCAGCTCTTTAGCACAGCGGGATCGCAGACTAGCGTCCCCGACAGAGTAGAAACCGAGGTCGTCGCCGGTATTAATAACATTACGACGGAAGAGGTAATGCTTCAATGCTTTGCGCTTTTCTCCATTTGTATGATAGTTCACGCCGCTATACACCGATTTCCTCGTGCGCATATCGTGTCGATTCGTCGAACTGTCGCTTCGCTCAAGTAAAATTGTTTATCGTCCCGAGATAAAAGCGCTATAATCGTTATTGACGGTGCAGTTGATAGCGACGCGGCTTCACTGTATTCATGCAAATCTTTCTCTCATTCTCTGTCCTATGTGAGACAGTCTTTTTCTTCGACACTAGGTGATATCGTCATTCTCTCCGTGCTTGATACGCGATATTTTCTCATCTAGTCGACTGAGCAAACCATCACGACTACTATGAGAGAATGGATCGTTACGGCATCAACGACACCCGTTGTTACGAGCGTCACCAAAGCCACCGCTCCTTATACTAATACCACGATGATTCCAACTGTGGCCATAACAAATGCTACGAGCACTACAACTTCGACTGTGATACCGCCAACGACGGAGCCTCATACAACGACGAGCGCAACGTCGTATATCACCAACGCGACTATTACTAGTACAACCAGCGCGACTACTACCACTACGGCGCCTACTACAACTACTACCACCCCGACCACGACCACGGTCCGAGTCATCACGGAACGTATCGACTTTGGTTTCTCCAACTTCCCACCGAGACGTGACAAGATATTAAAGAAGATACCGGTAACTGCCGGAAAACCGTTGAGCTACGTTATACCAGCTAATACTTTCAGCGATTTAGAGGACGGAGATACGAGGAAGTTAAAATTGAACCTCTATTGGCAAGGTGTACCGCTCAAGCCGACCCACTGGCTCCAGTTCAATCGCTATACGCAGGAAGTTTACGGACTGTAAGTTTGCATATACTTTTCGTGCCTTTCTTTTTGCGGAAGACAAATAGATTTCTTACTCAAACTCTTGCGAACTAGGCCTCTTGAGAATGATATATCCGCGTGGAATTACGAATTGGTTGCTACGGACAGCGAAGGCGCCAATGTTTCCGACAGTCTCGACATTCACGTGCAACAACACAAACTGAGTCGTAGCGTGAATCACGAATTCAGCATTTACCTGCGGATCGATAAGCGAAATGAATTCCCCACAGATGTCGACTGGAAGTTCAAGGTATGCGCTGGTGTTGTTGTTGTTTCCGTCCCTTTTGAAATTCATTTCTAATCTCTTTCCGATTGCAGGTGATTCGAAGTTTGGCCGAACTTTACGGAGATAACGACACGCGACACATAACAGTTCGAAGCATCGATTTGAGTACGCCTGAGTACGAACAGCAAGCCATTTTCACGTGGACTAACGATAGTCTTCCTAGAAGCAGCGAGTGCCCGAGAGAACATATCAACCGATTATTGCGCGTAAGTATGACTATTATATTCTACGAAATGAATCGTACGGTCTCTTAAAAACGATATGTACATCACCAGGTGCTCATCGACAGCGACGGGGATCCGTCGTCTTCTCTGAGAGCGGTTCTCGCACCGGAAATCAGAGTCAAGCGTGTTGTGTATCAAGGTATCGGGCAATGCGAGGATATGAAGCGTCCCGAGGTGCCGAGAGTCTCTACCGAAGAGCCGAAGGTTAATTTCCCGCCGGTACCGAGGAACCAAGTGGATCATGTGAATGCAACAGAAGGACAGTTGCTCGTGTTTAAAGTTCCAGAAGTACGTATTTTATTCATTCATATCGTCTCTGTCGATATGAGACATTATATGAATTTTGTTATTTTTGCAGGATACTTTCTTCGATGCCGAAGACGGATCGTCGCGAAATATGAAGATGTCACTTTTGACAATTGACCGAGTGCCCATCCCGCCTCACGAATGGTTGCAATTCGACAGCAAGAATCAGGAATTTTATGGCGTACCAATGCGCAGTGACGTTGGTCGTAAGGAATATCAGTTGGTCGTCACCGACAAAGAAGGTGAAAAACTTTGAAATTGAAATTGACACATACTCGCTAATTTTGCTTTTCTGATATATTTATTAATTCAACAGTACATTTTTGCGGCAGTATTAAATGAATAAACACTTTGTTGTTGCAGGTGCTAGCGCTACCGATGGACTGGTCGTTGTGGTGAATCCAGCGCCTTACATGACGCACACGGTAGAATTTTCCATGACGCTGGATATACCGTACGATTCGTTCGCACACAGCGCGCTCCAGAAGCGCAATTTCGTCGAGAAATTGCGAGATCTCTACGGGGACAAAGACACGAACGCTATTTCTCTGTACAATATCTCAAACGGCAGTACGGTCATTACGTGGTACAACAGAACTCTGCCCACGTCGTATTGTGCTCACGACGAGGTTAACAGGCTGCGGTCTGTGCTCGTGAAGAGCGACAATGACCGACGCTCGGTGACGGACGAGGTGTTGGATGTGATGGGTCTGAAATTCCCGGTGAAGCAGATCACAGTAATCCCAATGGGGATCTGTCTGGGCGAATTAACGGGCGTTCACTCGCCGGACAGTTACGTACCACCGGTGGACGATTCCACGTCCGTTGGCGCTTTCCACGATGATTATCTCTTCACTTTTGTTCTGCCGGCCATCATTATCTCCATCATGCTCATCGGAGCAGGAATTATCGCGTGTGTGTTGTACAAACGAAGACGCAGCGGAAAGATGAGCGTCAGCGAGAAGGACGAGGAACGCCAGAGTTTTCGCAGCAAGGGCATTCCCGTGATATTTCAGGATGAGCTCGACGAGAAGCCAGATCCCGGTAAGATTCAATCGATTTGTTGATATTGGTTGTTTTGACGATATCATCGGTATTCCGACATATTGCCTATTTTAGGAAACAAATCGCCCGTCATTCTGAAAGAAGAAAAGCCGCCTCTTCCACCACCCGAGTATCAGAAAGCCGATGACGGAGCCGACGTGCCGATGCTGTCGAAGGAAAACTCCGAGGAACCGTATCAGCCACCACCGCCGTTCACCACGAGTCGCGACACCAATCGGCAAAATCGTCCGAAACCGACCCCAACGTACAGAAAACCGCCCCCGTATGTGCCTCCCTAACAAAATACGGTGCACTCGCCTACGCGCAAATATATGCTAGCAATGCTCGGAGACTCACCGATACACATGCAAAACCAGAACAATTATAAAAAGCAATCTCAAATTGGCGGCGACGACGACGACGACTACGTCGATAATGATCGTGGGGCTCTGAACGTTTATAGCGATGTTTGAAGGATCTCCATTCACTCTATCCGGTGTGACAATATACTGGTCGCGAGACATGAATGGAAGTTGCTTCTCTGCGCGCCAACTCCGGACCCGCACGTTTTTACTTATTTTGTATTGTAACGGCAACGTCACAGCATCGATTTTACGGTAATGCGTTCGACTCCCGCGGTTTCTCGACATTCGATCAATATGCACTCTATCTCTCTCAACCGTCTGTATTTCACGGGAGGGAAAAAAGGATTTTCTAGGAAGTATGGGATTAATGAATCACGTGTTGCCTTTCGTAAAAAAAAGAATTCAATTGTAGGGAAGGATCCACGTCGAACTCGATACGCGAATTTAGTTTAGATCGTCGTAGAACCGACAGGCGATAGGGTAAACATATTTTATTCGACATGGTAGCATTCGAGACAGCAACGATACTCATAAATATTTCAACAATCAGTGCCATTTATTAAGCAATAAGGGTATCCGACTGTGAATAACAGCATGTACTGTAATTTATACGGTTCTACGGATTTACTGCAATTACTGTTACAGAGCCTCCGGGTATCAAGAACGACGAACTTAACGAAATACAACGTGTATAACACTGCCAGAACGACAAACGCACGATATAACGTCGCGAAGCGAGCCAGTTTCCGGGTATATGTATATCCGATCTCTCTCCCAAAACCCTCCATTTTTTAGGATAGTTCCTGGCGAATCGAACGAAGCGGTATTACTGTGAACGCCGCTCGCGCGAGAACGAATGAACTAGCTCACTTGGCGATCGCTATTACTTAAGGAGAAAATATCGGAGAGAACTGAAACGTTTTTTTGAGACATAATTTAAAGAAGGAATGATTACATGCAATGCCATTGCAAAGTGACAGCAAATGCTTCCATTGGCACGGTAGGCCATGCAGATAAGAAAAACTAATGATAATATATATATATATATACACACACACAAATATAAAAATATATATATATATAAATATGTATATTACCTATTTGCCGTTCGATAGATAACAGTCTGCAGTTACTTAGGAGAGCGTAATTTAAATACTGCCAGACCAACGTTACTAGCATTTATTTCCTTTCCTTTTTTTTTTGCACACTTTGCAAACGAATGGGAGGGAGCACCCATTCCCTCCGTTCGTTTCACGCACAATTGTTCTCATTGTTAACGCATTGCAACTTTTCTGATTTTATAGAAGAAAAACTTTTTGGTTTTCTTACGAACTTGCATCGTTTCACGAACGCGTACGAGTTAGCATCGAAAGGTTAACTCAGGAAAAACAAGAAACACTGATGCGCACGTACATAAGAACGAGACTATTTAATTTAGACTTTACATAGTTACCAAGCCAAAAAATAATTAATATTTAAAAAGAGGATGGTGAAGGTAAGGTAATAAGAACGTGTTTTTAACCGCGAAAAACGTGGCTCGCACTCTTTGAGAGCGCATTTTTATAATGTTTTTTGTAATTTTTTAACAACCGTATCGCGATACACACCCATCGTTTGTATGTCCGGTGCGCGAAAGAGTGCGGGGTATGGTACGGGTACGTATGCAGCCGTTTCTTCAATACCTCGATAGTTTCCTGATATTTTTGAAAGGAAATACGAGAAACGAAATAAAAAAAAGAGAGGAGGAAAAGGAGCAGGAGAAGGAGGAAGAAGAAGAGGAACTTCTCGCGTGTCCCGAATTCGAGGGCTCCCTTCGTCAACCGCGTCATCGCGGGCGATGAACGAATCGACGAATTTGCGGGCGCGCGCATCTATATTGGTGTGAATGCTGATGATCAATACAGTATGCGAGAGCGGAGAATGTTTCGTATGCAAGCTATAAATTACGATCTAATATAATATATTACTATTAATTCATGTCTTTGTAACGTAGATGATTTAAGTATATGCCGTGACAATTGAATACTTTACACATCGTTCGTATCTTGTTTATCGCAGAATTATATAAAGAATGGGAGGAGGGACGCAATTGTTGTCACTCATACGCGTATCAATTCATGACGATTCGTGCCGTACGAGCCGACAGTTAAGTACGTACGTTTTATTATTTTTAAAACACACACGAATAAAGAACTTCTGTATGTTGAATTCGGGTTGAACTAAATCTATATTGATGTACTATACTACCATAAAGTGGAATTATTTCGCATTTGCAATATTTCTTTGTGCGCGATTCCCAATAAGCATATCTACTGATGTTCGGATAACAGCGTCAATTTTTGCCAAATCAAAACTTTGCTGCATTTACTGTCGACGCACCAAGACTCATATTTACCGTTTCAACCGAGATCTGTTGCACAAAGTAATAATGCGATCGAAGTCAGTGTTATTCGGCTATTTTATGGTGGTATAGTGTTCGCGAAATTTTTCGGTTTGAATTCGACAATTGACGTACAACGCGTGAAACTATTACGAAGAGCTTTATATTCCGTCTGTGATCTGCGGTAAACAAGCACAGCTTCTCTCATATCATGCTTCTAATCATATCATTGCTCCACACGCGTATCTTTTAATAAAGCGCTGCAATTGTGTTTACTGTGAAAATGATAATGTATGATAGACATGTACGATAATTTATAAGATAGGGACAACGCGCGGAGGACGACACCTCAATGAAAAAAAAAAAAAAAAAAA